GGAAAGAGGCTCTAAAATTTATATATAATTTATATATTTATTCGTTCACTTATTGACAAGAATAATCCTTTAACGAATAAAAATGCAGAGATAATTTCAAGAGTACCACACATATAAAAAAAAGAAAATATAACATTTTACAAAAAAATATATAAATATTGAATAATTATAACAAGAAATTATAACAAGAAATAAAAAGACAGTTAATATTTTGATTAAAAAAAGTACATTAAACTTAAGAGTATGAAGCTAGAATTAAAAAGTATAAATATTTCTATATGAGTGTTCTAAAGATATTCTAATAATTTTTCGATTTGTATGTGATTTACCTGATTTCTCTCGGACATGAGGAAATCCAGATGCGACCCAGGCAGACCCAATTCCAAATACGTTTTGACGAGACGGAGATCGGCAGCGTTACCGTCGAGGCCGTGGACGCATATGATGAGATGCGCACCCTCCGGCGAGAAGAGCCGATACTCGTCACTGATGTGGAAGTACGGCAGAGTCGAGGCCAGGGTCGGATAATCACTAAGAGGCACATTCGATCTTAATGATTGAACCGACGGCGAAGAGTTCAGGAAGTCACCGTATCCGAGGGAATGGGCACGTTTATGCAAACGCAACTGTGCTTCCTCGCGCTCTCTAGAGGGTAGTAAGGTAGATAGAGAAGAGAACTTAACTACAAACGGAAAAAGATACAGACGAAACGACGCGGAAGCAAAACGCAAAACAGCACCTAGCGGAAATAAAATCTCGAAGATCATTGTCATTTATATCGCATTGAAAAATATAACTCGGTAAAAAAAAACGCCACCAAAGCATAATCATGATTTTGACAAACTAAATCTGTATCAACAAGGCGTAATTTGTGTGAAATGGCTTTTAAAGATAAATATTATAACGAGATTTTTAGAATAATTTAGGCATCATTCCCAAGCATGTTTCTCTAGCTTAGTTTGATTAATCAAAAATAACAATATCAAACTATAGGTTAAACGACCTAAGCTTCATGGGTTATTTAGCGCAGGACGCGTTTTTCTCGTAACTTCGAATTAAAGTAAAAGTAAAGCAAAATGTCGTAAATACTAGGAAGCAGTTCTAAACGGGAGACGGCTGACATCATGCGCGGGAACTCGACACACCTGTAAATTTTGCCCGAGAAGCTCATCTGTCGTTTGAACTCCTCCTTGCACTTCTTGAAGTTGATGAAGTCGTCCTGAGTGGACTGCAGCAGCTCCTTACCCTCTTGATAACAGTCTAGGCAGATATCCCTGGCGCCGTAAACGCTCTCCCGGTCCCGGTTCCGTTGCGGGCTGCAGGGTGCCGTCTTGTTCTGCTTCGGGCTCCTGGTCTGCTTCACCGTCTCGTACACGTGGTAGAGCGGGTTGTCAATCGGCGCTGGCGGATCACGAAACTCCTCGGGCGGTGGCGGCTCGTCCTGAAACATCTTTGGCGGCGGTAATCGCACCTCCTCGTACGAATGCTCATCCACGCTCTCCTTCGCGGTGACGTTAGGACGATCCTTGCGCGGCACGATCTTCGACAGCTTCTGCCGCAGCTGCTCGCTCGTGAGCTTGGCCTGATTGCGACGCTGCTCCGAGCTGGAGGTATCACCGCTACTGACCCAGCCTGAGCACTCAGACGTGAGGTTGCTTGAGCTCGAGCTCGGCGTGGGGCTGCTGGGCCTGGTGGACGGCGGACTCAGAAGATTGGGAATGACTGGCAGATTGTTGCTCAGGCTGTCTTTGCTATCGCGTATCGGCATGCAGGGCAGAGAGACCGCGCTGCGTGGTACCACCACTTTGTTCTGGGCCACCGGTACGCTGGCGCATCGCAGCCTCTTTGTGTTCGGCGGCGGCACCCCGACGCTCGTCGACGTGTCCGACGGTGTCGTGCCGTTTGTCATCGGCGCCTCCATGGGCGATTTTATAGGTTCCATCTGAGCGGTAAGAAGAATGATTAAAATATATAAATAAAATTATGTTGTAATTATAGTATGTATTTCCGTATTACATTTCTTGAAATCTTACCTTCAGAATAATTTTATTGTTGTTCTCTACCTCGAGGACATTTGTCGCAGGCGCTGAAGAAGGATGACGGTATTTGGGCAACGGAGCGACAGCGGGATCCTGATACGCCGGTGGTGGCGGTGCCGGCTTCCTGTTTCTATGACTGCACTTTCTATCACTTTTGCGACCGCTCTCCTCCACCGGATGGTCTGTATCTAAAACAGGTGCGGAATGCGGTCGCCTGCTGTGCTTGTCTCTTCTTCTCTCGACGCGAGACTCTCTCTTTGATTCCGGCTTCGTGGCTATCACCTCGTAGATCGGTTCCTGAGGTGTCTCCGCGCCTTTCTTTTCGCGTCGTTGCTTCTCCTCGTAATTTTGATTTACGCCGTTGCGAGACGACTTGGCTGATCGCTCAGCTCTCCTACGAGCCGGCCGATCCCGTCGAAAGTCGCAGCATTCGTTGCGCTCTACGTCGTCGACCAATCGTTCCGTGCTCTTCGGCCTCTTCGGCTTGCCCGTCTCGTCGCGTGCTTTCCCGCTGGTACTACCGTTTGTGCGATAGAAGAACGAATCCGTAGTCTTCGTGTAAAAATTCGAACGTTTGTTTAGAGGATCCGCTAGATATGAATAGCTGCCGGTTAGCGCGCTACCATTCATGGACTCTGGTATCTCCGGGCGGCTTCTATGCGTCATCGATGTCTTGCCGAGTGTGTGATATCTGCGTGTCTCGATACCGTTTGTTTGATTGTACTTGCCGCCTGCCTGGTGTCCAGACTTTCTGGAATTTCCTCGGTATGTGACTCTGTCCAACGTCGCCGTGTGCAGTGGTTGAGGCTCCTGTAAGAAGCTATCGCCGTTTACATTCGCCTTGGCGGATAGAAAGCTACTTTGGTCATTTGTGGTCGTTGGCAACGGTTGGCGTGTTCCCAGGCGATGACTTCGCGGCTCCAGTCGTATTCTTCTGGTATCGAGGGAATGGTAATCTACACGAAGCACGGGAAAAGATAAATCGATCCATTATCATACAGAATTTTCATATATTTATTTTTTATCAACATTATTTTCGAAATCAATATTCTTTAAAAAATATTACATCGTACCTTCTACTACATTCGCCGATTTGCTTTCCAAGCAATCGGGCAACTGACTGAGGTCTAGGGCGCCCACGCAGGTTGGCACTGTGAGATTCTGATCGCAAGACTTGGACGACGGTCGATAACCAGGCAGATGCCCGCCGGGCGGCAACTCGGGAAACATCGCCGCCAGCAGCGAGGTAATAGAAGTGGAGTGATGGTCGGATTGTTGTTGCTGCTGCCGATTCGGCACCAGCATTTGCGTGGACTTGGCGCGAGGCAGAGGAATTACCGGCGTGGAACCAAGGGATGGATTCGGCGCGGAACAGGCCTGCTGACCCGAGGGCGGGAAGAGGGTGTTACTGGACGGCACTGTCGATCTGGGCCTTCCTCTCGAGGGCACCGTCGCGGGCGGCGTGACGTTGCGACTGCCGCCACGTTGCCCCCGCGGGAACAGCTGGGTCGACACGGACCTGGGAAGAGTCTTCGGCGACGTTCTGGGCTGCAGGGGTGCCGTCAGTTCGGGACCCAGCTGATCGAGGGATTTACTATGCCTCGCCGGAAGTGTGGAAGGCGTCAGCATCAGACGGGCCTGGATCGATCCAATGTCCTGTGCTGCGCCTTCGCTCCTGGGCGACCAGATACCTATGGAGCGCGATTCCAAGATCGCCGCTATCCCGCAGCTGCAGTCGTCCATGCTGGGAACTGAGAAAAATATTAAAGAATTATTGTGATTATTATATTATATTTGAAATTTAGAATAATTAATATCTTTTAATATTAACTAAACACACACATTCAAGCTTTATTTAATGCAAGCTTTATTTATTTTGCCATAATTTAAATACACTAGAATAATCTCAAGCCAATGTTCTGTAGCGAATAATCGTATTGTGATAAACTTACCACTATTTCTGTGCCTCTGCTGCATGTCAGCGTACTGATCCTCAAAAATCAAAGGCAACGAGTGAAGATCGCCGTCCAGTTCCGGACAATGGACAGGTAACGGTGGCAAGGCTGCGAGATAACGCGATCTCCGTGCAGCCTCACTCACCGCTTGATAAGACTGATAATTCGCGTCGTAACAGCCCGCTGCCGACGTTCTCGGATTCTCTAGTACGAAGAAACCCTCCGCGAATCGCTTTACCTGAAAATTAATAATCACAGTTGCAGATAAATAAAATATTATAAAAAATGCAAGTAACTATTTTTATGAAATCTAAGATTACGATCTAAAGAATATTATTATAGATATTTATTATCATATTTTTAATTATTGTTATCTTAATATTTTGTAAATCCTTTACTCTCAACTGATGATGAACCCGTGCTAAATGCTGATGAACCGCTTCTCGGCCGGAGAACGCTTCGAGAAAATGCTGCCACAGGACGATATTTTGTGCGCAAAGTTGGGCTATATCGGCCTCCTCGGTGTCCATCAACTGCAAAAGATCAGTTTTGAAGAACGTGTCGGCAAAAATTAAAAACGCGAGGGAGACGTACCTTCGTGATCTCCTTGTGCGTGTTCTGCGCGAGCTCGAGCGCCCTTTGTTGCCACGAGGGGAGAAGCCGCGCCAAGTCGGACAAGTCGTTGAGCAAAGATTCCCTCGCGGCCAGAAGCAGCCTCGTAACCTCTTGCTGGACCAGTCTTGCGTGTTGTATCCTCGTCCCTGATCCAACGCACCTCGTAGTGGTCTCCTGAAATAAGATTTGGATTTATTAGATGACAATGTCCATTTGATACATCGCCGATAAACGATCTCGAATAGACTCACAATGTTTCCGAAGGTTGTCGCGCTGTTATCGCCGTTCGCTGCAGGTTGCTTAAACTGTAGCCAGGGTTTTCCGCCTCGCGGTGCGCTGCAATTGTAATTGACTAAATTGCAGAATATATTTACAGACATGCAATTAATTTTTTCGACAAATATAATCAATCGCGCTTATTAAAAATTCATATATTTCTACTCAGGTATTTTTCATGCAAAAAAAAGTACATATGTATATTACATCGTTTATTAATTACGTGATTTTTAAAAACGTAAAGAAGTTGACGTAAATATAACTACTGTATATTTTGCAGATTGAAATTCGAAATCGAGTTAATTTAGGAATTCAAAAGTACAGGTAAGGGTAATAAATTGTGCGACTACTTGTGCGAGAAGTTTAGCCGGTTCTGAGCTTGTTTAAAGTATCAAGAACTCACCAGCTCTGCACTACGTGCAGTATGCTCTTCCTACTTTCATCAGGGTGAAAAGATGCAACCATAAAACAGAAAGAGGGGCTCTCGTGAGGGAGAACGTCGATTGTATATTACATCGAGCAAAGTACTCGGAAGGTTACGAAATATGAACGCGATACTGACTTGATGTAGGGCTGATGAAGTGCCACGAGACAAGCGTGGATCGTGATGGACACCGCTGCTAGATGAAAGTAATCGAAGAGCACCGGCAGATGATAGTGAAGACCCTTCGTGGGTGTAAAATTCAGTTGCAGCGCCCTGAAAAAGAATCGTCCGTCAAATCTTTTATCGATCACAGGCGTCTTTTAGTCGAAACCGCCATCGATCAGTCCCGCCGCGATTTCGCACAATTGGCAAACAAATATCTAACATATATTGCATAATTATCTACGTCTAGCGTTATAAAATAATAGAAACAGTCTAATTTAATTTATTTTATCTTTTTTAATTTCAGATTTGCCATTATTTATCATTTTCTAATAATTATTCGCAGGTTCAGGAGAGGTCACAAATAAGAGATAAAAATTGCGCGGCTGATTGCCAGATTGTTCGTGGTCCACCCTTTGCGTGTCTCCGCCATCAGCGGAGAAGAATGAAAGGGGAAGGGGATAGAATAATTTATGCCAACGCTCGTGTTAGACGGCAAGACGCTCACCTCGAGGACACGCAAGCCATGTTGCCCGGCTGCGTCGGCTCGCTGAACCATAGCTCGACACCTAGATTGAAGTGGGTGCGCGACAGGGCCTCCTCGATCTTGTGACTGTGCACGAGCACATGCGCCCGGAACAGTACGGAAGTGCCAAGTGTCACCTCCTCGTTCCTGTACAGGATCTGAAAGCGCTTACTCGTACCCGGCGCCTCCAGGGAATCTGCAACATGAATTTGCGTCGAGTTCGTCCGTTGAGTTTCTCGTCTGGAGAATACGATCGGTACACGATCGATCGGAATAAACGACATAAGTACTTTTGCGTGATACGACTAAGAACTTTGAAGGATGCGAGACATAGAATCGCGAGATTCTCACGCGATGCTCTCTCGTAAGAAATGGAAATGTCGAAGCTGTTATAAAATATCCAAGAGAAAAAAATTGCTTTTAATATATAAAATGTATAATATAAAAAATAATATATATAATATACAAATTTTGAAATAATAGAATTCGATAATTTACTATTATATTAAGTCACTAAATATAGCGATGACATGTACAAATAAATATACATAACGTATGAGAAGGATTTGTTGGATCTTGATTATCGAAATATACTTACGGTTTCGCGGTTGATTGACCTCCACCTTGACCGGCAACTTCGGCGATACTCTGAGAGCAGTTCGAATCTGATAATATCTGCAAAGCAAACAGATTCGTTTCCATAGACAATCTCTTTCGGACAATCGCGAGATATTTCCCGACGATACGCCGTTAGATACGAGCGTTAATCTTACCCGCGTTGGAAGAGGTCAACATTGTAGAATTTGCAGAGCTCGAGAGAAAACTCGAGGGTGGCCTGTAGATCGCTCATCTCGATCCTCGCGATGGAAGGAACCACCCCCGTCCCGCGCTGCCCCTGGTACAACCACTAATCGCACGAAGACCAATATCGGTCAACGCGATGAATTGCGAGCACAAAAATTTTAGGGTCTTGCCGAATCTTTCGGCTCGCTCCTGCCATCCTGAGGATGGGGTTTCAGCGCCAGAGATCCACTGGAATAATGGAATTCTCAGTAAGCGATATGATTTATAATAAAAGATTCGCGATTATAAAATATTTATGAAATATATATGTATATATATAAAATTTGCATATAGAGAATATATTTTAACAGTAATGAGATTAAATATATATATAAAAAAATGAAGTTATATCGCGTTGCTAGCTAAGATTATGTATCTTCAAAGAAATATTAATGCAAAAAAAATAGTTTGAAATAACGTCGCGATTTCAAGTCATATTAATATTCCTGACATTTTAATATTAATATAAACGTAATGGCCGCAAAATGTTTGATAGTTCCTCATTGTCGAGGACAACATGGAAGGTGCTTTTCATATTTCAAGATATACGCCGGGAACAGTAAAGGCCATAACCATCTCGTTAAAGTTTCATCGTTACACCTTATACGATATCCGCCGTTTTGCGACGATAAAAACAGAAGCGTGCGTCTACGTTTGCTGTAAATAAATCGGCGTATCGTCCAATTTAGAGCCGTGGCCAAATTTAGTTGGGCGACAAACTTAGCCGTACTTGGCTAATTAAAATTTCTAAACAAGATATAGATATTTAATTATAACGAGAGTGTCTGTTTATACAACGATAAATACTTATAAAAGAACAACGACCGGATGTGTGAATACATGCTTGATAATGGATAGGATGCAGCAAGGATTTAAATAAACTTTTCTTTTTGCATGTACGAATCGATATACCGAAGGCCAGCATGTGCAGTCTACAGCTTTGACGTTATACGTGATGTCCGTAATCGTGGAAAGTATTTCACGGCGATCTGCGTTTCACTGTCAAGGACGGTCAGAAGCGTGCACGCGAGTGCAATTATCCTCATTCAGCTCCCTGCTTTGTCAAGCTTTCCCAGTCAGAAATATATGTACAGTTGATGTGACGAACTAACGTCGAAAACCAAATATATTCAAGTTAAAATTAAGATCGCGAATCAATCAAAATGGTACAAACTGTTGAATTTTTGACTATTCCAGGTAGTAAGCGCACGTCATTGTGACGTTAGATTTTGGTATCTCACTGACTTTTATTGACGACACTAATTAATGTCTTTCGCTATTCACGGATTAAGTTTTATAATAATAAAATACATGTATTTATTTTTCGATTGATTCCACAAAGGAATCCTATTTTTTAATAGAAATTTCCTGTTTTTTATCAGCAATTTTATTTCGCGCTTGTCAAAATGGTTTATATTTTATTAAAAATATTGTAGTATTCTGTTCTATAACATTTTTGCTAAAATGTCAACTTCAAGTTTGCTAACGCTTTGCCTATTAAACAAAATTTTAAATGTCTCACATTGTTTTCATATAATATCGCGACTATACATTTTTTATATAGTTGTCGCTCTATCGACTACGCTTACCCGCCTTTATCGAACGGGCGCTTTTATTATTTTGTTTTTCGCTCGATACAAAAATATATTGCAGTTTATAGCATGATAAGAAAAACTGTATACTAAAAACTGACATAGTAATATATATGTTTAATATATAATTACATGGCATTTAATATATAATTATAAAATGCTAATAGCAATATTTCATTTTTGCATGAGATCTCTATAGATAAACAAAGATGCACTATTGACAGAATAATTCCCGATAAGCCCGATCGACTCTGACAGAGATTCGTATAATCTGGATGTTCCATTATGAATATCACATACTCTTATTATTCTTCATCAATACGGATTATACATGAGCGATTGTTTCAACGCGACACGGGAAGCCGTTCTGCATTACGCTTAGGGGAAAAATTTCTTAATTTACGCTCGTCGATATTTTCAAGGCCAATATATTTTCTCGGCAGTGCACGACGATGCTCACGATGCCGGAAAACGCTTCTTGGCGAACGCACTCCACTGCCAAGGCTGTTCAAAGGCTGCGTAAGCTCGACCGCCTCTTTCTGTCGCTTTTAAAATAAGAAGATGGGCGACACCCTCTTGAAGCGTGTCGACACTAGCTCTTTTTGCAGCCCTCTTTTTACACGGGAAAAAAAAGAGTACTATGACATAGATCCGCATTTGTTTGTATGTAAATAAATACTTGAAAAATTGAGAGCTCTCTTTACAAATTTCCGGACAACCAGTTTAATATTAAAATTTGCAAATGTCATTAATAAAAATAGGATTTTTTATTTAATCCCGTTTGGATATTGAAATCATTTTCAACAAGATTACACTATTGCGTTAACGTGATTGTTAACGGATATATTCTCAAACTTTCGTGTAGCTGGTTTTAACAAGCGCGATTAATATCACGATCTCTCTCACTGCCAAGGCCGCTCGAAGGCCGGCATAGCCCGGAAGCCGGCTTTTCCAGAGCGTTTATTCCACCCTGTGCAAAGATCAACGACCTGGTTTCGGGCTAAGATAATTCCCGCATTATATGCCGGCGGCTCATCATCTGTATCCGAGAATTGTAACATATGAATAGTATTGGAGTTATACTTTACTGTCAGCAATAAATTTTCGAGCTTTTGTGTCAATTTTGCTAAAAATGAATTTTAATAAAAAACTGTGAGCTATTAATTAGAACAGTTAACTGTACAAGAAAGCAAAAAAATATAGTCTGAGAAATATTATCCGCCATGCTGAAATGCGGAAAAGTTCGTTATTCCTTTTCCTATAAACCGCAGAAGTCCGCAGATTATTTCCGTAGTTCTAGCAAAGTCCGTGCAATAATTTAAAGGGACGGATTTTCCTTAAATCGGGTGACATGCGCGGGAGAAACAGGGAGAAATGAACGCGCCGGCTGCTGTTAGCAAGCAGCTGTGCTCTGTCACTTTTAACTTGGTCCTCCGTAATCGGGTTACGTGTACATGTGTGTAACCGATGAGAAATAACTGGACGACATTGGGCATTCCGCGGATGTTTCTGAATTCCTTTTATTCTCAGCAATGTCTATCTTTGAACAATGCTGCGGAAAAGTAATGTTGAGCGAATAAACTTAGCGATATATCGCATAGAATGCATCTCGCTGTGTTTCTTTAAACATTTATAAACAATATTATTTTGTATATGAATTATATTTATACATTTCTCTTGCACGCTTTATTATTATTATTATCTTTTTCAGTCTTTTATATTTTTCAAAAATTTATATTTAAGAAATAAAATATTTTATTATCTT